GATGCCTTGTCTCGACAGTTCTCCCCTCCATCCAGAGAGGAGATAACCCCTACTCCTGTGATTCCTCCGGACCATATACTGGCAACCATCCGCACTAGCCTCACATCACCCCTAGGCGAGGAGATTCTGGCTGCACAAATTAATGCTCCTCCAGAGAAACCTAATGGCCATTGTTTTGTACCGATTAACCTCCGTACTAAACTATTAAGTACATACCACGACTCCAAAGCAGCTGGACATCCAGGCAAAAACCAGTTAATTTGGTCCGTCTCCCGGCAATTTTGGTGGCCTAGTCTCCGTTCGGATGTCACCGCTTTTGTAGCTGCCTGTCCTGTGTGCGCTCAAAATAAAACCCCACGACGCCCTCCAGTGGGTCTCCTGCAAACAATACCTAATGGTGAACGACCCTGGACCCACTTGTCCATGGATTTTATCGTAGATCTTCCGGTCTCCCATGGCAATACAGTCGTTCTCATGGTTGTTGACCGATTCTCGAAGATGTCACATTGCATTCCCTTGAAAAAACTACCTACTTCCCAGGAACTTGCAACAATTTTTGCTCGGGAGGTCTTTCGTTTGCATGGGTTACCTAAAGTGATAGTCTCAGATAGGGGTAGCCAGTTCGTGTCCAGATTTTGGAGAGCCTTTTGTACACAAATGGGAATTCAGCTTTCCTTCTCCTCGGCCTACCACCCGCAATCCAATGGTGCAGCAGAACGAGCTAACCAAACACTGGAACAGTTTCTGCGTTGCTACATTTCTGACCACCAGAACAACTGGTCTGATCTGCTACCCTGGGCGGAGTTTGCCCACAATAGTGCGATTAATGCCTCTTCCCGGCTATCCCCATTCTTGGCGAACTATGGGTTTCAACCGTCCATGTTGCCTGATACGTTTTTGCCACAGGGGATACCGGCATTGGAGGAACATCTCAGGGAACTCCGTTCCACTTGGGTGCAGGTTCAGAACTCTTTGCAACGCGCAATGCAGAAATACAAACTCCAGGCCGACCGCAGACGCCTTCCTGCTCCTACCTATCAGGTCGGAGAGAGGGTCTGGCTGTCTTCTCGCAACCTACGCCTCCGTGTTCCCTCACAAAAACTGGCACCCCGATACGTTGGGCCATTTCGTATTCTTCGAAGGGTTAACCCTGTAGCTTACGCACTTGACCTCCCTGCTAACATGCGCATCTCAAATGTTTTCCATGTTTCCCTCTTGAAACCGTTGGTTTGTAATCGCTACACCACCTCAGTGCCACGTCCACGTCCTGTTCTGGTTGACAATCATGAGGAATATGAAATACGCAGCATCATTGACTCACGAGTCTTCAGAGGACAGATCCAATACTTGGTGCACTGGAAAGGATACGGTCCAGAGGAACGCTCCTGGGTTCCAGCCTCTGATGTCCATGCACCATCCCTCCTTCGTTCCTTTCATGCCCGCTTCCCCATGAAGCCCGGACCCACCAGCAGAGATGGGGGGAGTCGTTGAGGGGGAGGTACTGTCAGGGTTTCTTTGCTGTTTTAAACAGCAACCCTTTCTGTGTCAGTGAAAGAGTTTTCAGCTGCAATTACTATCAGCTCCTTTTGCATGTTGCCACGGTTACTCACCTGAGAGTAGTAATCAACCCTGCTGCTAATCAGTGCTGCCTATTTAAGCAGCAAATCCCAGAACCTCCTTGCCCTTGCGTGGTTTCCTGTTCCCCAGAAGTCTCCTTGTTCCTGTGTTTCCTGTTTGCTCCTGGTTCCTGACTCCGGCCTTGTTCCTGACTCCGCTGCTCTCCGTGCTCCTGATCCTGGCTTGTCTGACTACCCGCTCTGGTGACTGACCCCTGCTTGATTCCTGGACTTTGCTTTTGTTATTTATTTGTTATTTATTAATAAAGGTGTGTTTGCATCTAGTTCTGTCTCTGTCTGGTTCCTGGTCCCTGACACTGGGCTACTATACAGTCCCAAAGGCAACGTAACCAATCTGGCGAATTTCAATTTCAAATGTAATGTGCTATAATTGACCCTGTAACTTCCCAAAATGCCATAAAACCTGTACATAGGGGGTACTGTTTTACACATGAGACTTTGCTGAATACAAATATGTGTATTTTATTGCAGTAAAAGCAAACAGTATTATGACATTGACAGTTAAAATGCCATGTGGAACAAACATTTTTTTTTTTCATATTAAATTATGTTTCATAGCTATATATTTGATATTAAATGAAAGCCCTGTTTCCCCTGAATAAAATGATATATAATAAGGGTGGGTGCATTTAATATGAAAGAGGTGAATTACGGTTGGACAGACATGTAGCGCAAATGCCAGGTTTTGTTTACATTTTGTTTTGTTCACAACGTGTACATTTGGCTCTGTCCTTAAGGGGTTAACCCCAATCTTGAAATTGTGCCAATCATTTTAAAGAAATAAAAATACAAAATATTATTAGGTATTATCTGGTAGTATTGCTCTCTATCATTGTTTACAGTCTATTGACTAGAAGAATTGATAGAATAGCTAACCTGATATCAATGCTCATTTTTCTATGAATATGCTATAGTTGTATTGCCCCAAAGCACTGAGTTTTCATTTGTGTCCATATTGCTTAACTTCATTGATGTACTGCCACATGATATCAACATATCTATCTATGTTGCTCCTGCTTTGTTCATGGTAGAATTCTAGGGAGGGCATCACCTTATGTTGGACTACTCCAAAAGCAAAGGTAGCTGGATTTCTCCAGACTTACAACAGTAAAAATAATATTGCATCGATTCAGTGATAAAATGGGCCACCAAGCTTTAGTCTTGAAAAGAAGATTCCTAACTTTACCTAGTTACTACAACATCATAACTACAGCAGACCACTGTAATGGCTATGATGCCAGGAGTATCCAGGCACCAAGCCTCCTCTAAAGGCACAGAAGCTGTATGCTAATACTGCCAGTTATTTATTAGCTGAGTGCATCAGCGTCATCATAGTACTTTATTATCCAGCCATTATCCAGCTTCTGCCAATGCAGACACTACTGAACATATGTCCATCAATGAGCCTTCTTCTATTAAAAGTTAAGTAGATACTAAGCCATCAGTGTTTGAGCTAACCTGGAGTGATGGGGCGCCTAGTGATGGGGCTGGCCTGCTGAATTGGAACTCCTCAGATCACAGAGCTGGACAGCATGCGTCTTTGGGACCTGATTGCACAGGACTGAGATGTAACTATGTAATTGTCACTGTATGTATGGCCATATGTGTCTGTATATCTGTGTCTCTATGTCTGTGTATGCATGTCTCTGAATGCCTGTGGCTGTAGGTCTCTGAATGTCTGAGTCTGTATGACACATACATGTCTTTTTTATGACTATATCGTATGACTGTATATGTATGTTTCTGCATGTCTCTTTAAGTCTTTGTATGTCTTTGCATGTCTCTGTATGCCTGTCTATATATGTCTATTCATGTTTGTATGTTTATTTAGAAATGTGTCAGTATGTCTCTTTATGACTCTATGGATGTTTATGTATATCTCTGTATGCCTATCTGTATGTCTCTGCATGACTATTAGTTTGCTTATGACTATGGCTGCATACATTTGTGACTTTGTGTCTGAATAACTATGTCTGTGCCCCTTTATGGTTGTGAGTCTGTATGTTTGTGTCTTTGTGCATGTATGTGTTTTTGCCTGTACATATATGTGGGTATGGCTAGGGAGAAAAGAGACACACAAAGGGACTGAGGGAGTAAGACGCAAAACAGGCTGGGGGAGAAAGAGCCACACAAATCCTTGCATCGGCCCTGCCAAGATAGATAATACTCAAGGATTTAAAAGAAAGGCTTATAACTAAATTAACACTGGAAGACTGTGGAAGAATCAAACATTTCGAGGACATCAACTTCAGATGAACTTATGGTCTAGTAAAGAATAACTAAGATTTTGAAAAAGTTCTATAAAACAGATTGTAAACCCAGATCAACACCATGTAAACAAAAGTTAATCCTCTGGATACAAGAAAGCATTACGATATAATAGGTAGCTTACTATACACAATAATCTGTACTAGGCCAGAATTAAGTAATATGTAAAAGAACACCATGATTATCAAAACCAAGAGAATTGTATTAGATGAGATATTTGAAACATACCGTCAACTGTAACTTATGTTAAACGAAGTGTAATCAAGACAATATAACTAGCAAAGTGGGCTTCCAGTTAGTGATCAATGAAGGTGGCATTGTCCTTGATTACTGCCCAATCAACAGGAAGATAGCAGATATCATGTGTGAGCCTGCAGCAAAGTTCTAATTTAAACAGTTCTTGAGTGCTTTGCTTCGAATGCATTTTTCTTCAAAACAAAATATGTCTGTTGTTAATAACACATGTGAGAGCAAATGGAGGTGTTGAAATATAATTCCACAATGTTTTTGTCTATGGTACATTGAAGGTATTGTTCCACCTTTCCCCTTGTCTGATATATATTAGTGGAGTGCTATACACCTGTCTGGTGTTATTCTTCTGTTATTGTGCTCACTAGCCAGGATACCCCACTCTCAGCATGAGGATTGCAACAGGCAGCCTTTGGACGTGAGCCTGGGGACAGAAGTAGCAGTGGCAGATGGTCAAGTAGTCACTTTAAAATTTTAAGAGGCCCGTGCAAAAATGTTAACGAAGCACTGAAGTGCTTTACGTGGTGAAGCCCTGAATCGGTAGTCTCCTCCGAACAAACCCTAATAAGGGATATTTGAATTAAATTGAAGAACAAAGGAATAAAAATAGATATGTCAAACTGCATTATGTTGTTTTATATTGGTTGCAGAAAAATGAAGAATTCCGCTCTGGATAGGGGGGCTAGAGTGTGTCTTGAGGATATCTCAACAGGGGGTAACCCTTGACTAAACCAAAAAGGAAAAAAGGGGTGAACCGAGGTCCACATAGTAGAATCCTCAAAATTATATGAATAAAAACATATTTATTAGACAACCTAAAAATACACAAAAATAAACACTCCACATCTAAATAAATGGGGAGAGCGATGGGGTACCGCTAATCGGGGGAATAGGCAGGTCTATGGAGAGGACTGCATGAAAGATAATTAGTAAATAAGTAAGTAGGTGTCACCACATATAATTAAATAAATTGATGGGTACTATCCAAATCCAACACTCCACCTTAAGAAATAAGTGGTAATAGAATTAGCAGTAAACCCATTAGTACTTGTAATTGATGATACCGATAATCAATGTAACAATGTGTCCCTAGTAGCTTCTAGTGGATACATATAACTGCTACAATTATGTAGCAACACACTAAATTGAGTCTAATCCAAATGTAACACATCTATCTAATGATACAGATAGAGAGAAGTTTCTTCCAGAAATGCAGAACCCCTCTTTTAGCTAAGGCTATAATCTGCCTAAATGAGTATGGTCTGCACTGGTTAAAGCTTCCTTTGCAAGATCGCCGGCCAGATCATACTATGTACTAGTGCAATAATAAGTACCCCTACATAGAAGTATGCTGGCTTTCATTGATATTGACATTTATATTGGTTGCCACAATATCTGTATCACTTTTAAAATGAAAGAAAAATGTAAAAGTGACACTGTGAGAAAAATAAGCAAAGCAGAAATATACTTTGTATAATGTGTTTGAATTTGTATTTATTGCATGGATAACACTTTAAACATTTACATACAGATACATAATTTTGCATTTATTTGCCTTTTTATTATCAAGATTTGGTCTCTCATCTCTAAATATCTTCTCTCTCCATGTTCTTTATCAGCTGTTGGTCACTGCAAGACAGAGAAGGAAGTTAGAGTGGCCATGAGGAATAAAAAAGGACATGATGTAGATACACTCTGTATTTTGCTAGAGTCATATAATTATACTGTTTGTGTTCCTGCAAGAACAGTGTTATTTATGTGACTGGCAACATTGCTTATTCCTGGAAGAATTATCTATGCACACAACACATAAAAGGTCTGTCACATTACACATGTATCCATGCAGCATGTATTCATAGTAAACACTTTTACTTTTTTAAGTGTATAGGATAGGAAGTTTAATTGAAAAATCCTTATTAGCAAAAGTGATTTTGGCATTTGGGAGAAAAAAAAAAAAAGAGTAATCTGACTTTAACCAGAAAATATTGCAAAAGGCTAAAAACACTTATATCTAAATATCTAGAAATGTATTTTCAAGAGATAAACAAACTGCAAGAAATAATTTAAAGGCTCATTTTAAACATCACTGCTGGGGTGAACGCTAGTGATTGATGCTTCACTTTTGAGTCTTACCAAAGAAATATGATAAAAAGAAACCAACAGAACTTGTCTGGTTATCGCTGTGAAACCTCAATATCATCACATTTCCAGAAGATGTCAAAGAATCGGGCACATCAGTGTTGCAGTATTTGCCCAGGACTGGGGAAATTGATCTGGCGCCATCAATTATAGTCAGAGAATCACAGGAACAATCTGAGCTATCTTGCAGGTCAAAATCAATGAATTCCAGAAACACCTAGAAGAAAAGGCTCATCCTATGTTAAAGAGCACATTGTAAGGATCGTGTTTGTAGTTCTTTAGAACTCAGCAAGTGCCTTCATTGACATAACATAAAAGCATACTATATTTTCTATTATTCATGCACTTTGTTTCTTACTATCGATTCATTTTTTTCTCTTAAACTATATATGAAAAAATTGCATTAGAGAACACACAATAAAACTTACTTAACATGTCTGGTAAGTTTTTATTTTCCAGATAACACCTTCTAACTTTTTATAATCTGTATTGATACAGTATTGTACCCTGGGTGACCTTACTTTAGACTGTGGTGGAGCTATAATGGACCATTCAGCATCTATATTGTTGGGATATGCCTTGCCATAGGATGGAGAGATGATTCTTCCAGAAGGGCTGGTTAAAGTTCCTCCATAGGAAACTGTAGGTAAATAAATATTATTTAATAAAGCACAATATGTAATTTAACAGTTACAAAGCTATTGTCCAATTTGCACAGGTGCAATCTTTTTACCTGAAAGATTGAATTAACTGACCACACAACAGACGTATATGTATTAAGGGAGAACAGTAATACACCTAATATTGTGCTGTAGTGACCAAAACACATTAAGTACTTCAAGTATTACATATTCTGCTTCAATATCTTTCTATTAGTAATTGAATTATCCTTTAATTTGTAATGTGTATGTTTTTAGATGGCAAAACAGATGTTTATATGACATAGTTTGTCTTCAAAATCAGGATATGGAAACTGAACCTTCATTCACAAAACATCCAATAAACTATAACCCATACTATCTGTGTGATTATAAAGGTAATGTTTACAAAACAAGATCTATAGTAGTATCGCATAAAAGTGAGTATAAAGCCCTTAGTTGATTTAAACACCTAGCAATGTTAAAAATCTATCAAACATTTTCAGAAAAGAGTTCCATACATGTTAAATAACATTACAGTTTATAAATTAATGCAAAATGACATTTTCAAGCCATTGTGAGTGCTGCATTTGTGTTAACAGGTGGTATGTACCTGTCTCGTAGAAAGCATTAAATCTGCTAAGATCTGGTGTCTGATTGCTCATGAATTCTATTAGCATGCTATTCCCAAAAGAGATAAGTGGTGGGATTATTCTATCTCCACAAGTCTTGTCCAAGAGAACACTAGAAGATTTGCTGTTCCCATCATAAACCTTTATATAGCTGTCAGAGCATCCAGTGGAAGCAGGGATATTAATGTCACTGAGCTGAAGATGAACCTGGGTAAAGAAGATCACAATGTGAGGGTTGAGATTAGATCAAAGGAAATGTCAGTACAGAACACGATGAATAGGTTTAAATGTCCAATTAATTATAGAACCATGTAATAAGAATCCCAAAACAAGAAGAAATTATATTTAATCCTGTTAGCTTTATACCAACCAGTTTGAAAGAGTCAGTTTGAATTAACCAGAGGCAACTACTATCTTGTCCGAATGAGACATTGTCAGTTGAGAAAGACCCTGATTGATCTATTAGTTTCACTCGGCAGACATCTAAGGAAACAAAAAGGTTATATTTTTTAAATATTGCTGAAAAATTCTGGACAGTTATAGGACATGCAACTAAAGGATCAGGGTAACCAGAATAATGTATCAGTTAAGAGAACAAATGTGTTGACATTATAAATATTAATATCAGAGAAATTCTTACCGCAGTTATAGAGTTTGTTAAGTTTGATCACATCCAGGTGGCTCATTCCAATACTTTGTCCAAGTGGTAAAGAAGCATTGCCTTTTGCAGCTATGGTAGCTTGACCAGGGGTGTTAGTGAAAGCCGTACTGTAGAGAGAGGCATGAGGTTTTTATACCCAAGAAGAAAGACAATATCATTTTTAGATAAGACAACATTGTGGATATTCATAAAATGTACTCACTTTTGATAATGCATGACTGATGTATAATCATACGGAAGGTTCATATTGTTGCTGTCCTCAATCTTAAAGTTTATCTTGTTTGCTAAAATGAAATATATTTGCAAACAATATAAAGGTTATTATTCATCTTACACAGATAGTGTTGACTAATTGTTTACAGGCTATTAACTAGGTGAATAGATTTATCAGTCAATTTCTCCTCACTACTTAACATTCTATGAACATTATAGTCTGATTTTCCATGGGTTTTGGTTTTGCATATATGGTTTAATTGCTTACCATCACTGATATACTGCCAAAAGATGTCAACATAGTTATCTCTGTCACTCCTGTTATGTTCATGGAAAAATCCCAGAGAGTGCATGAGTTCATGTTGGATTGTTCCTGAGCCCAGGCAGCCTGACTTGTCCAGACTGACAGTCTGTTTGCCACCTTGCCTTGCTACATTTGACCAGCACCTAAGAAATTATGTAGAGAAATAAATTAAAGAACCTTAACTATTACATAGGCATTGTTTCAGAGAATACAATTTATAAAAAAGGAATAAGTGAGTTAAATTTCAGACAAGCTAGTTTTATTAAGCAGATGCTGTGAAACGAAATCTGTCAAACCAAACTTGATCCTGTTCAGTGTTTCCAAGTTGTCATGTGAATTGAGTTCTGACCAATCTCCCTTATGCGTAAACTCACCCATTTCCAGATTCTAGGCTGAGATAGTCCCATTGTGATGTTCTCTGAACAAACTTCACACAGCTCATGAGTTCAATCTGTTTCATGGCCTCAGTAATAAGCAATTTCTGAATGCTTGCTGAAGAGAAAAGATGAGATTTTGTTAAAAAACAACAACATTGAAATAAGTTTAGTAAACAAATGTTTGTAATAACTTACAGTATACTGAGGAAATAACATAAGGGACCGGAACCACTCTATCCGGGGATGCCGGCCAGAAGCAACTATAGCAATTCTTCACACTCCGGCCAGTATTAACGACAATGTCTCCATGCACTAGAGGCTTGCTAATATCTGAAATTAAAATGGCAAAATATTTATGAATATGTATGACTTTGTAAATTAGGAAAGAATGAGGAATAACATGCTAAAATAATAGCAAGCAGTCAAACAAAACATTAACTTCTGTATAGGAGTACACAAGTAATCTGTATTTTAAGAGGGCAATATGAAAAAGTATATAATCTTCAGTAAAGGGACTCTGACTGGAGAATCCCTAATTATATAAACTCATTATGCTTGATCACATTAAAAAGTGTGTGTGCTTCCTTGTTTACTATTGTTCTTCCCCCCTTACATACTATATATGTAGATATTTAGGACTTGTGTCTTTTCTTTTCCATTTGTCTATATTTTCCACCATTAACAGAAATCCTGCACCATTTAGTATGATATCTAAAGGTGCTGATATGTAATCAAGAGAGAATGTTTAAAGGCAATCTCTCCATCAGGGCCTGCCAATGTCTGGAATAAAATAGATCATTTTCATAAAACAGTCTTTAGTCAATAAAGTGGAGCTGTCACTTCTGTGGAATTTACACCATTGATTAAAACATTAAATTATCCATAAAATGTTAACCATGGTTTTCATAACATGTTATATTTGTTATTAGATTTGTATTAAAGATTTAGCAAATTACATCATAATCCAGTTCAGACAAGGCAAAGTCAGGGTAAACATTGCATTATAAGATAAACACGCTTTCATTTCTCATATTTTCTGTATGTTTTCTCTATGTTTATTGACAGGTGCAATGTCTAACTGTGAGATTAGATGTAGTCACCCAGTTGCAGCTTAAAGAAAGGTGGATTTTTCTAAGCGAACTAGCTAACTAAACTTTATTTGATATCAGATTACCAAAATGATACATCATGAACAATTAATGTTTCTTTCCATGATTCTAAGTATAAATGATATATTTCTAATTGTATTGCAATGCATTTTCATATATATTTATTTTGTACATTTCAGTAAAGTTAGTTTATGTAAAATAAAACAGGTGTATTTTATATAAAAGCCAAATGTAATTATTAATTAATATTAACAATACATATGTATGTATGTTTTAGTTTTTTTTTAATTTAGATTAGATCAATCATTCAAGAATTCCACTAGACATGGAATCCATGCATCTCATTAACAATGTTATGCCTTAATATATATGTGGTGCAATTGCCTTTAACATATTTCCATTACTTACAAGATAATTTTTACATAAAAACAAACATGGTGAACAGAAACTAGGAGTTTTCTTTCGTAAATCTCACCTTTGTTTGCAGCTTCTATCAGTTCGAAAACTGTTTTAGTCTCTTTACGTAGGTCATTGATGGTTTCTGGAGAAAAGAGTTAAATCCAAAAATTCACTGCTTAGTCACACTGTGATGGGAAATCTCTGACTTTCAAAAATCCACAGAATATGAAAATAATGTTGTCTGTTATCCATAGAAATTCATGAGGGATCACAACATAAGAAACTAAAATGTATCATATTATTAACTATTGTACAGGTCTAGGCAATAATGTAGTACTTACCTTCATATGCTTTATTGTTGACCTGTGGGGAAAAAAAATTAACATTAATGTTGTCTGTGTTTGGACAAGATAACAATAGAACATTTCTAAACTAACCAATGCCTCTCTATCTCTGAATACATATTCATACCTGCACAGGTAAAGCCAGGCCAATCGTCCATTCAGCTACAATCAGCAGTAATATCTTGGTCAGCTCCATGGTAACTGTATAAAAGATCCTCCTATGTTCCTTATTGTCTGAATTATTGCAAATGCACAGTATATATACTTATACCAAAGATGAAGAGGCTGACACCATCACAACCCTAAGGGAGCCGCTCCTACATCCATAAACATGCATGAAAACTCTTATAACAAGTAAACCTTTAAAGACTATAATTATATGCTTTCTATAATAAGTAAGTTATGACGATGTCAAATAGATAATGGACTGAAACACCAGGAAAAAATATATCTGAAATATTTTACATTTTTATATATTTAAATATTTAAAGTACTAATAGAATGATATACAAAACAAAATAAAGTATAATACAAAATAGAGTAAACCGTAATACAAAACTTAGTGTCTATATTGCATAACGCAAAACAAAGTAAATGTTTTCACAGATGGAAAGGCAAAATAAATTAAATATTTTCACAGACGGGAGAGGATTTAAATAAATATACCAATAACTAAAATATAGCTAAATTAACAAAATTAGAGTAGAAAATAGAAATAGATAATACACAAATCTGATAAAGGTTACTTTTTTTTTGTTTTTTTGCTTTGGACCCTGGGTCAATAGACTCTTGAAACTTAAGGCATTATCTCTCTCTCTCTATATATATATCCTTTGAACTTGTTATTCGGAAATTGGTACTGGATTGTTCCATACTTGCACTTGTAGAAATCTAGATAGATCTTTCTGTAATTATAATATGAGTAGCCAGTAATTTTACATTTCAAAGAATATTTGAAGAGTAAATATCAAACAACATCATTTTATTAGTGCATCAATTATGGAAAATACTCTTTACCAAACAGAACCTTATATGTTTCAATGGATTTTTGTCTGAGCAATTTTCCATGCAGTTTGGTAGAACAAAAATGAATTTTTGTTTTTGATAACTTCTCCATTACAAAGTATCATCAATAAAACTACCTTTTCGAGTTTTCTATAGCATTTTGTTAACTTCTTAAGAAGGACCTGTTAAGACACCCCTAGTGTCTTTAGGCAAAACCGCCGTTTAATAAACCTTCCCCGGCTGCAGTACAGTCTCCGTTCGCTTACTCTGTAACACACGAACCAAATGCAGGGGAAGCGGCAATCTCCCGATTGAAATCCACGAACGGCTCCAAACTCCCGAACAGCAATATACGAACTGCTGGTAACCGTCGAACAATAATATCCCCAAAGCGGCTTTCGTTCCATCCAGCAGTCTCTAAACGTGAAGAAGAAAATCCCCCCAATAACGAGACAGAAGCTCCACATTGAGGGTCAAACAAGATCTGGATTTACTGTGGGCTACCTGCCCGTATTTATGCAGGTCTCCCACCTGGTGGACACTCCCTTAGGGGACCAAATGGGAGACTTAAACTAAAGACAGATAGAAGGACATTTCAGACACACAGTCACTTATTTTACCCACAGTGCATTATGATTCCCTCCCCTCTGCCCTGGAGTTAATTACCAAGTAACTCAATTAACTCCAGGACAAGGACAGTCTGGGTTAAGTCCTTTGTATGCTCTCAATCTCCCGAACGGCCGGTGTTCGCATGCTTTCGTGGAGGCAGCCAGGCGTTCCCTTGTTTCAGCGGTGTTCGGCAGAAAAAGTGTCCGTTTTCAGTTCCATAGAAATAGAGCCAAACACTGCTGAGCGTTCGCATGATTTAAAATGGCCGCTGCCTCGTGGTCGACATACGAACGACGACCACCCTGAGTTCGGTTTAATTGAGAAGTGTCTGCGGTTAACCACAACGTTCTAATTGGGATCACTTTGTTAACCAGCAGCACACTCCTCACTTGGGTGGCCGTTCGTTCGGCAGATTTGTTCGGGAAAAAGAGTCATTCGAATGGCTGGGCTATAGAAACCAGCCATTCATACGAACGGGGGGTAAACAGACGAACGGGCAAAAATCCAGCAGACAGATGGTTCTGTCACAGGACCGAATCTGCAAATTTTTTTTTTTTTTCATTTTAGTGAATTTGTTGGTATTTATAAAAGTTCAACTTATTCTGAGGAGATGTAGACATGAGTCCACAATAAGGTGGAATCATTATTTCAAATGACGTGCCTTTATTAATCCATGTTTTCAGGGATATGTGAGGAATTTCTTATTTCCAATTATATCCAAATATTGAGTTCCTCCTTAAAGAAGACTAGTAGCATAAAGGTATCATTGAAGTTTATCCTCAGTTTTAAAGTTGGCTATGGCATAGGGAAATCACAGTATTTTAGATAATTTGAACACATGACATACAAAATATATTTGTTCTCATCTAGCAGAATGAATTGTATTTGCCAAAATGCCAACTTTAGCTTTAAATGAGACTGTTGCCTCACTCTTCAGGGAGAAGATAGACAGGTTAATATTCTTTTTTTTTTTTTTTACTTTCTTCTTTTTTATACTTTCCACATTGACTCCAAGGGGGTAGTGATCTGACCAGTGAGTGTCAAAGCCCTAGGAATGTTGGAAAAGTACATTGGGCATGCCTGGCAGAGTCACACAAGAGCAGTTAGTAAATCTCTTCATCTCGAAACTGAGCTGGGTGGGTAAGGCTGAGGAAACTTTATTGTACATTTATAAATGTTTACTACATCATTTTCAATGTATCTATTGCTCAATTTTGGTTTGTATATTTGTTCAAAAGAATTTGCTTGCTGATTTAAACAATAATGTCAAGTGATGCACATCCCTTTAGGTGACCCTGACATCTCTAAACATAAATCATTTAATGATAAGGGGTCTCAAAGAAAGGAATGCTCCAAACACCATAACCAGCTTTCTGTAGTAAATATATTACCAAACACCCTCCTAGTATGTATGCCTAAATATTTGAATCGTTTCTTCTCCCATTTAAATCCATATTAAAATCCTTATGTTTTAGATACATAGGAAGTACAACCTTCTCCTATTATACTGCTCAATGGGGAGGAGTAAAGTGTCATGAAAGCAGAAAGAATGTGTCCATAGTAGCCAAAAGCTCTATTAAATGTCTTCTCCCCTTCAAGGGCCAGAGTAAGAAATGGGGTTTTGGAAGCATTAATTTTTGCATATATAGTAATTATTTTTCTAATATGATTAGAAGAAGATCTTCTAATCTAATTCTATTAGAAAGAATAAACGCATAAATCTTATAATCTATATTCAGGAGAGCACTTGGTCTGTAGCTAGCTATTTCTTCAGAATCGAAAGCATCTTTTTTGGCATTTCACAGGTTAACATGAATGAATTGTAACAATCAGCCAATCTCAGTTGTAGAAGATCCTTATATATTCCATAGAATATGTCTATGAATCCATCTTGGCCAAGGGCTTTCATTTATTTTAATGGAATTAATGACCATTTCTATTTCCTGCGTTTTTAGTTTTTTCACTTAATTGATCCAGCTGATAACGATCCAAAAGTGTGAGATTTTTATTTGAAAAATATTTAATTAGAAGATTGTGAGTATAATTTTCAGATAGATTATATAGATTTTGATAGTAATCGTGGCGAAAGTAATCTTGCCACTGGCTTTTGGAGGAGCCTGTTTGCCAGCCTCCTACCCTGTGACTATGGCCCCTGCAATAGATCTGGCTAAAATACTTCAAACAGGCTCATCCTGGAGCTTGTTAAAACCTATTAACAACTTGGAATGCTTCTCACCGCAGTGTTCTAATTATTCATCTGGGTGTTGTTTGCCTGAACGCAGGCAACCGTGTTTGGGCATGAATCTCATGGAACTGAAATCGGATACAGAAACTCCCGAACACCGCTGGACTTCCATCATCACCTACGTTCATTCCTATTCAGCTTAGAAAGACACTGTTCAGTGAGATCATTCGTCTGGTTGAAGGGAACAAGCTCCAGGGTAAGACTATTGACTCTGTTCGGTAGTTTGTTTGTTTTCAAACTACCGAGCTAGATCGACCACAAGCCCTGATTCTCTGGAACTGTTTTGGGCATAGGACCATGCCTGCAGTCTATCAAATAAAAGACCTGCATACAATTTCATAACCCCTGAACTGATCTGGGTGATTTTTGGATATGTTGGTCACCCAGATTGTGGCTATCATGGGATGTAACATTTATGGGGATATGTTGTGTTTTGGAGTACTTATGGGACTTTGTAAAATATGTATTTTTTCGGTTAATGCAATATATGACTCAATTATCTCACAGGCAGAGGCGAGCGATTGTATGTTTTTATGGGAGTGTCGTACATTTATTTACTGTTCTGATTGGTTTGTAACTTTGTGTCCCTGTCCCCAACAAGGTCCATGTGGGCGTACACCTTGCTTGGGGACTTGCATAAAAGGCCAGCTATGGTTTCCATTAAACAGAATGCTTTACCCCTTCATGAAGTCTTGGCTCATGTTTGGGGGATTGGAAAACTACATACACTCTGGTGATTGCTTTATCACAATAATCCCTAAGAGCTGTTCCTGCTACGCTTTCTGAAGTAGGAGAGGTCTACCCACTGGAAGCTGGATCCTGGTCTAGGATCCAAGGTGGGTGGAGGACGGCGAGACCCCAACCAAGCTGCGGTGGTTTGTGGAGTATACAGTGCTTATGGTGTCTGGTGGAGTGCTTGGAGCCCTCGGTGAACACTAGGAGCATTGATTGACAGAGGCACCTGGTCGGGGCGCCAGGCGGTACGTCACAGTAATGCCTGGCCCTGTCTTATTTTATTCACAATTTTATTATTTTGCTGTGCTTTAACTTTATTTGGTAAAAGTTTGTTAGCTTTGTTCCCTTTGTAATAAAAATAAATTTCCATAAACTCCAGGTTTTTATTTACTTTTGATATTAGAATGTCATTCATTGATTTATTTTTCTTGGCTTGTGCGCCCAAGTTAATCAAGTGCCCTCTAATAATGATTTTGAGTTTGCACCACTTAACTGCTGGAGATACTTCATTATCGTTACTCAGTCAGTATAACGCAATAAATTTTGCAATGTATTCCCTATTCTATTTGGATAGAAGTAGTTTGTAATTTATTTTCCATTCT